CCCTGCCAATCCTGCTTGGTGTTGCCCCCCTGAAGAGCCATTCCTGGCTGTTTTGCTGCTGTTCCAGCTCTCTCGAACCACTTCGCTGCCATCTAGTCGCTGTCTCAAGCCTACAGCACTACCTTCCGGCCATATATCCGCTTTCCCAGCCACCCGGAACCCCTGCTCACAGCATAGCTGCTGTTTTAGCCGCCCAACAATGCTTCGGATTCTCGTTTCTTCGCTACCCACCCCACCTATCCCCTTGTTTTTGTTCCGGGCTGCGAATATCCCCTGCTTCCCTGTTGTACCACCTACCTATTCCACCTCCCCACTTTGCCATTACCTTTTCGGTCCCACAATAGCAACCACCATCAACGTCGGTACTCCCTAGTCGTAGTTTGATTCCTGTCTATTGTTATTTTCTATTTTTGTGTGTTGGTTGTAGCTGCCTATTGGCTTTTTAGTAATAATATTTTTTTCTTATTATTATTTGGGTTAACTCTGGTTCCATTTAGTATCAGAGTTAGCCTAATCCTAGGCCTCCATAGGGTTTCTAGCATCCATCGATACCCAATCCTCACCTCCACACAAAATTCCTTTCTTTTGTTGATTTTTCAAGCCAGCCACAAAAAAATTTTCTTTATCACCCTACATCATCCCTCTACACCCTCTTCTACCTACTCAAACTCAAACCCCAACGACATCACTGGAGAGACAATTGTTGATTATCTGACCGGGAAGACATGCCATAGTGCAAGTAGGAGAAATTTGTAAAGATATGTCTAGGAACTTTTCATAGAAGCCCTACAACTGTAACAGAGGCTTGCTAATTTATAGAGGAGATAATCTGGACGGGTCACCCAAAGCCACAACGATGACTTACTAGATCGAGACAATGAAGTTAATCTCTTCTACGATGTGGATTTCAGGGATGAATAATCACTAAGACTTGTCTTGAAATATCGAAGGAGCCTGAATCTTGAAGTAAATACGAATTTTTCATATTTTGACAACCACTTGGATCCAGACAAAGTCATCGAGTGGCTCCAAACTGTGGAGTGTCTTTGAGTACCAGGAAGTTCAATTAGACAGAATTGTGAAACTAGCCACAGGAAGTTGAAAAGGTGTTTTTTTGGTGAGAAAATTTGAATCACTTGCACCAGCGTTAGGCAAAAGATAAGATCACTATCTAGTATAAAAATAAATGGGAGATGCAGTTTCATTATTGATCGAATGTTCAAACCTAGCTTCAAAAGTGGAGAGACAACATCATCGGATGACAACCACACCTTACAAACAAAATTCAAACCCAGTATCAAGCAACAAAAATTTGCTTTGGGGAACATCCAAGTCCTCGCTGAAGGAGAAATTGATTCAAAATGGAGAACGAGTGAAGCCAATTAGCGTTGTCAATTTTGTCTGAGATAGTAAGGACGTCAAGTGTCATGAGTTTGGGCACAGTGCATCAGATTGCCCAAACAAGGGTAAAATTTATTTCACTGAGCAGAATACTATTGAAGGAATATTAAATGACACAGAAAACACTGAAGAATGTAAATACATGATGGAGGAGTACTATGAGGGAGAGATGCACATAGTTCAAGCTGAGCCCATGAGAGAGACTCCAACATAATCATCAATGGTTGCTCAAGATTGACTTCAGTTTGAGGAACCTACATTTGACAAGTGACAACCTAGATAAGAGAATTTCAGACATTTTTAGATATATAATTTACTTCCTATTCAGCTTCTACTAAGGGAGGTTTAACATGTCAAAGATGAAAATTTTTGGTGCACTTCTAGAATCTATATGGAGTTTTTTGAGTATTAAACTCAATTTAATAGTGTACCCACTGACAATTAATCAGATAGGATGGATGGCCCGCAGTGTTGGAAATTGTCTTAGGAGCTTTGTAGGAAGAACATCCTACATTGGGATCCAGATCCTTTCAAAGAAGAAGAAGATGCCTCTTTTGAGTGGTTATACTTTATTGTGGCTCAGTCAGTCAGTCAGAGTTGATTTCCCCTAACAGACTTGATTATCAGATACATCCAATCGAGTATGAGTGGGAGTAACCAATTATAGATTTACTTGCTCGAGATTTGACTTTTGAGAATCTACATCGTTATGTAACTTTAGCTTAAGTTGTGTCAAAAGTATATGTATATTTATTCTATTAGGATGAGTTTTGGAATGACAATGCTTACATGATTGACTTAACGGGAGCTTGTAACATTTTTGATACCTTCAACGAAGTCGACCTTACTACTATGTGGAGATAGAAGCTTCAACAAATGAAGTCAAAGCTCCCTCAAACCCCTAGAGATTGATGCGTGAACTTCCTGCGTGGACTTTTTCCACGATTCCTATTATAGTGTCGTGATTTCTACATAGCCCCGTGATCGCTTCCGCGTCTGGACATGGCGCATCAAAGCCTGAGCGCCATGGACCAGTTCATACCAGGATTTTTAGGGCCGGTCTATCTTCCATAAGTGGATTTATCACCTCCTTGTGAGAGGGTGTCCACTTCTATTTATTCTAGGCTTATATATTTGCTTTTCGTGTTTTAGATTTTCAAATTTTGCTTGTATTTCTACCAGTTATTTTTTAGTTCATTTTAAAACTCGGACTCATCAGTTTGTCTATTTATATATCGTTGTATCATTCTCTTATTCGAATAAATCTCTCACTTGGATCATACATATGATTTGAAGATGAGAGTAATAAAAAAGAAGAATATATAACAACAAAAGTACAAACAATTTTAAAAAGAAACATGAAAGACTTATGTATTATTGTATCATTCTCTTATTCGAATAAATCTCACACTTGAATCATACATATGATTTGAAGATGAGAATAATAAAAAAGAAGAATATATAGCAACAAAAATACAAACAATTTTAAAAAGAAACATGGAAACTTATGTATTGGCAATCCTTGTGCAGTAGGTCGAGAGTATACATCCGAACAATATTGAATCTAAATACCTCGAAACATGGTATCCATGAAGAAAATCCCTACATAAACAACCCATATACAAGCAACCAATAACTAGAGAATCAAAATAAACATTTTTGTTCTGGGGTCAAAATCACTCTCAAAAGAACGCATTTCTTTGGTTAATTACATCTTGGTGGGTACCCAAGAATACTCTTCATAAAAGGAATTTCGCTTATACTATCATAACCAGGTGCAAATAGGACATGAAAGGATGGTTACTTCGTATGAGAATGCTCTGATGCTTTAAAAACTTTCGCTAAGCCACAGGGTAGAGAGTGAGTCTCTCGCATCCCAAATAGATAAAGGCTCATCGACATGCGAAACCTGCAGAATAACCAAATCGTCTCGACAAGGATATCCTTGTACTTCAAAACTTATGGGGTCATAAGAGCAGAGGATGAATCACCATATATCAAGTGGGCGACAACTCATCAGTAATCAGACCATCAAGTCGATACCAATGAAGTCACAAAAGGACGACATGACTCAAAAGGGGTTAACAAAAGGAAGGATATAGTAATCCTTGAGCAGAAAGATGTAACCGAGTCAAAATACAACGGATCTGTCATCCCAAGACCCGAAGTCTACCCTGTCGCAAAGGTAGTCGACCCAACACAACCGGAGACTCATTGTCAGCAATATGTGACTTGCGTCATCCACGAAGACTTTGGTAGCCCTAAGATAAAAAAGAAACTCTATGTCCTATGACCTATGCAGGTAGAGTACAAAGAGGTAAGACTTATACTTGTCAAGTAAATGATGGAGATGCCTCAAGAAAGAAGGAAAAGAAGAGGTCCAATTAATAAACTGAAGAACACTCTCCATAAAGAACTTATACCCTGTATGAATCGGGGAAGCCTGTATCACTCTAATCGCACTAGACAGTCATCTAGGTAGAAATCTATGTTGAGCCAGTCATACTGAAGAAACACGTTGGCTTCTTCTCGTAAGATGATGGAATTATCTATAGTAGTCTTATGCGTGGAGGCTCCATTAAAAGACTTGGGATATGTCCATGTCATGTAAACCATTTTAAAATTGGTTCGAACGCCATGCAAAAAAGTAAAGTGCAAGTTTTAAAATTTTGGAATATTTTAATCCTAAAATTTGATTACTCTTAATCTTCCATTATTACGATTTTGTAGAAAATTTATAATATTAGGGTCTTTAAAAAGCATAGATTATTTTTTGTGATCAATCATAAATAAACAACAAACAAAAAGAAACACGAAAATAAAGTAGTCACAAAACAAAAATCAAGGCAAAACGAGCAAAATATAAGAATAAGTCGACCGCTTGATCGACAATATCTCCTAGGAAAGCAGTAAAAACGACCGGATTTCACATATACATGTCTGGTCCTAATTTTATACAAAATTATAAATTTGAAATTATTGTACGAGACACAAGCTGCCACCCTTGGTCCCTATCAGGTGGTTCGATGCGTCATCTGCCTCTGAACATGTGCCAATACCTTATTTCTGATACAGATTCAATCCCAAGACTATCAAATACATGATAAAAAAAAGATTCGACCTGCAAAAAACTTAGCACGAGTTATATAATGCAACACATACGAGTATATCAACCTGACTAGGGCGGCCGGTCGGACCTAAGTGGTCTATGAACTTGGACGAGGCAGCTGATCGGACCAATATGACACATGCAACATGCATAATGCCAGGACACTCATCATGACAAGGCATGTGAAGCAATGCAAATGCTAATGTCTGATAGCGAGCCATACCCGTCCTAACGCTTTCGCATAGGCACCTAGGTTTTAACACATGTGTGGCATAGCTGCCTCCAGTCTTGGCGAAAGATGTATGGAATTTTTCCCTCCGATTTCTTAAAGGAAAAATTCCCCACAACTTGTAGTATGAACTAGCTACAAAACATTTTTAATCCTACAAATTCCGAATATTCCAACACCTCTATGGAGGGTTGGAACGGACATAACTAGGCGAAATACAGATTTCGACCGTTTGATGACATCCCCGGTTGCAAAGAGGAAGCTCTCGTCAAGTAGGAGAGTAGATGCTCCCCTCCTCCCAAGTGTGAGAGGAAGCTTTCCCTATGTAGGAGGTAATGATTTCTTCCCTTCTCCAAAGTCAGTTAGAAGCTCTCCTTTCGGAAGGAGACGCATCTTTCCTCACTCTCCCCAAAGACTGGTAGTGGAAAAGAAAGAAAAGGATGACTAAACTAGATTTTTGGTGGATGAATAAAAATGGAGAAAAGAGGAGAAAAAAGAAATTTATTCTTGTTTGTTTGATCTCCTCTCAAAGTTTATCTCCTCCCTTTTAGACCTCTTCCCAAACCTCACTTTCTTCTTGGAAAATGCAGGGAGAAGAAGATGAAGCAAGAAGTGCTCTCAATGAAGGAAAGAAAGAAAAACAGAAAAAAATAGGCAGAAAGAGAAAGAAGAAGCTCTTCTTCACTTGTGCTCTCTTCTTCCAAAAATCTCTCTTCTCCTCTCCCTAGAGCTCTCTCTCTCTGTTTGAAAAAAATGGAGAAGTCCCCTTCCTATGAGCCCTACTCGAGACAAAAGTCTCTCGCTTTGTTTGATTTCCATGCCACCACAGACTTGCTGGGAGATTGTCTTGCAAGAGAATGACCAAGCCGCTCTCAAAGCTTCTTTGATCCCTTCCATAAGTGGCTTAAGACCCTGTGAAAGCTTTCTGCTGATGAGCACATTGGTCCTACCATCTCAGTGATTCAGTCGTGACGCAGCAAATTTGGCGTAGAAAATCGGATTCAACGCATATGCGTCAAGGACGGGTGCATATGCGCCTGTTTTTTTCGCTTCAGACATTTACTTAGGCGTCTAAGCACCAATTGGGAGGCGCATAAGCACCTCCGCCTCTGATTGGAGCGATCCATGCAAAGTTTCGGTGCCCATGTGGCAATTGGGGGCTCTTAAGCCGCCTTATCTGTTACTCGAGCTATGGAAGGGCTTGGGCGCATAGGCGCCCACACTAGCATTGAATACTACTTTGTGGGCGGATATGCGCCCGTGTGGTGGCGCATATGTGTCACCCCTAAAAAGAAAAAAAAGATTTTTGTTTTTTTTTCCCTTTTATCGCCAAGGCTTGGATGGAGGAATCCTCTGTGTATCTGAACCACAAGAAAGTATTAAGAACTGAAGATAGACTTCCTCACATCTGGATGGACCCGAGGGTATACCGTACTGGGCGAAAATCGCCGCCCGGAGCCGGTTATGGCCTTGGCGTTCTATAACTCAATTTTTTTCTTGGATATCTGTAGAATGGTTTTAACCGATCCAGAAACTACGAGAAATTACATGTCGCTAAAATACGACCCCATAAATCAAAATGAACATTCCATAGGCTTTAATTTGGGGATTGGTGCCAACAAGCATCTCAGATCCCCTTGTTTTCGTTTCGAGCTGCAAATAACCCTGCTTCGTTGTTGTATCGCCCACCTGCTCCACCTCCCCACCTTGTCGTTGCCTTTTCAGACCCCCAACAAAATGTCAGTACACCCTAGTTGCAGTTTGGGTGTAATGTTTGTTGCTTTTTCTATTTCAGTGTGCTGTCTATTTGCTTATCTAGTAATAATATTTATTTGCTTATTGTTGTTTGGGTTAACTCTAGCTTCATAGGGATAAACTTGATTTAATTTTTTTTTATAATAGATAATTTAATTACAAACATTGAAATCTCTATTTATGAAAACAGGATTATATTTATAATCAAATTAAATTAAAATTTAAATCTTTATAATTGTTAAAATTTTTATCATTAAATTTATAAAGAAAAATAATAGAAATTAAAAATTAAATACATTAAAATGAAACGAAAAAAAACATTAAAATTGTACCCAAAAAAATGCTAGAATAATCACGATTCATGGTTTGCACTGCATCAAGGGGTGCCTTGTAGTTTTCTCTCCATAGTGGAGTGAGCTCTTTAGTGCCTAAGCATTTAAGTTCTTTGTGGTTTCTGTTTCAGAAGTTAGCTAACTACATTTTTAGTGTTCTTACGGCCTACATTGTAGTCATTTGGGTACGTGATTGTTTCTTGGAGAAAGCATTTCGTCATAAAGAAGGATTCTGTGAGGAAATGTCTTCCAGTGCAGTAGCATTATTTACCAAATTTTACTGTTTGAATGAATGGTAGCACTATTTCATTAGCAGAATATCTGTTTTCTCTTTCAGATTTGTTCAACAGAAATTAGGCGGCCCATCAATTTCAAAGTATGAAAAGCTTCAAGCTGAGAAGTCAGATCTGCAGATAATGTTTGACAAGCTCTCCATATCTTACAAAGAAAAATGCAAAGAGGTAACTTGTAAATACATTACATTTCCATTTTATGTTTTTGTCTTTGTAAGAGCTGGAAATCTGGATTAACCTTTGTTGCGAGGAGATACAGCTCTGTTCTCTTATTGCGTTACTAGATTGATACCCATTGCATGATATTTTATTTTCCTATTGCTGAGCAAGTTAGGTTTAGATTCACTTTCATGATTCCATATTGCAACTTTGGGTTCTATGTTAACTAATGTTGAATTTTTTTTTTAAACTTCTTGGAATCTAATGCATGTATAATTCATGAACCTGTTAAACAATCGAAAATATTGCATTCCAATTCACTGTTCTAACTTGATACGCATTGTGCTAATTTAATGCTAACTGTCACATACTAACTTGATGCATGAATAATTCATGAACCTGTTAAACAATCGAAAATATTGCATTCCAATTCACTGTTATAACTTGATACGCATTGTGTTAATTTAATGTTAACTGTCACATACTAACTTACAAGTCACCCGTGCGACTTTAACG